CCGGTCTGTTGATAATTTGTAATCGCTAATTCAGCAATAGATTGTGCCATGAGTACGGTCGTGAGTGAAAAGTGACGAACTGGTTATGGAATAGAAAACTTGGTAAATTTCTACACCTCTTAACCACTCCGTTGAGTTTCATTGAACAGACGGGTGTCGTGGCAAACGTTTCGAGTTTCGCGCGATTGCTGTAGAGGGCAGTGGGATCAAATAGGAAAGTGGTACGAAGCCATAAATGAGTTCGGAAATCTCGTAAATTATAACTTTGTGAAAGTACCTTGTAACAATTAAGACCCGCTGGTTTCTGTTAACGGTTCCCCACGGTTATCAAAAGCAGCTGATGTCAATTTAACGACTTCGAAATGCGGGTGATTACCGAAAACAAACCGGATTTTTATCCAGTTTGTTTTGCCTTTCAAGATATAACTTTCGGTTCAACGTTCAACGGCTTTTGGTCTATATGGGACCTTAATTCAAAAAGTGGCCTATATTTAAAGAAAAGCGCTCCAGAGATGAGCTTTCCAATCATGTCAGTTAGATTAGGAGTCGTCAGATGTTTTGTCTTTTTTTTCATTTCAGCAGCTGGTAGTTTTTTTGTATAACCCACATGTTTTGTGCACTTCTGAAAGAATTGGTTGTAGACTTTTTTGGAAGCAACAGTTCGGAAATGCAATGAGCAGCTTCCAGCGAGGACTGAACCGAACATCATATCGATAAAAATGTAGTTAGTATTTATTATAAAACCATCCAACGAAAGGACAGTTTTTTGAAATGTTTTAAGGTTTAAAATGATGTTTTAGTTATGGTCACCGTCAGAAGGTCAATGGCAGAGTGCATGTACAGGTCTAAAACTGTTGAAAATGAGTCAGGCGGTGTCGAGGTTTTTATGCAGAAAAAAGAAGATGGCTTAACGGTAAGAAAAGCAGCTTAGAAGCGGATAAGCTTTATAGCGCTTTTAGATTTGTAAGGTAAACTTAATACTCAGTTTTCGCCTTGATTTGTACCTCTCCCAATTGAATAATGGAAAATCGCCGCGTTCGAAAATTTCTATAATTGGTATAAAAAATTGTGTAAAATACGGGTGGAAAGTGCATTTGACATGGAATCGTTGTGTAGTAATAGGGTTTTAAATATAAGTTTAAATATAAGTTTTGCCAAAATTAAATTAGAAGGTGGAGGGGGATGATTTGGCGTTTTGTTCTACTTTTTAATATTTCTTTAGGAACATTTTCCACTTCTTTCTCTCCGAGATGAAATTATTGGGTGTTGACGCGTAGGCACCTGTAATCTGCGAAATTAAGGAAAATTTAATTTCGAGGCTTGCCAAAATTTAACCGATAGTTCTGTGAGGCTAATCAAGAGGTCGTTCAAGTTTTTCATTAGTCTCTTCTGCAGAAAGTTTTTTAGACTTCTTGGGCAAGTAAGAAGAAGCTCTAAGTTGGCAAGAATATTCCATGTTTTCCCCTTAGTGCCTGTTTCTCTAACACGTCATCGTAGGTTCATCTCACTTCTGGCAGTCGTCCGTATTCTAAACCCACATGTTTTAAAGGAGTTCAAGTTGCTGATAACCCAGATTTCTTCACATTTCCAATTTCTCTCGACGGACAGACGACTTGTGAAAAGTCCCCGTCATCTTCGTTATGCATCAGCATTTCCTTTGAAATGGATTTGAAACATCTCGATAACTTCATTGTAGATTTAATAGAATTAACATGCCATTGCATAAACGCCTAGAATTCTATCTGACCTTATACTCGGTTCCTCTGTATAGTAAACTCAAGTCCCTTACCGCTTAAAAATACTTCAGTCCAACGTATAGAATTTGAAGTGTAGCGGAACTAACTCCATTTAATGATGTTTGAAAGATATTTTATTGAAGACTCGGTAAGAAGGAATAAAACGAGGAAACGATAAAAGGCTGCAGGCTGAAGTTGGCACATAGCGCACTCAAGGTTAAACCTCACAATATCGTGTTTAAAACAGCACTGTAAGGGAAAATGAAGCAGGCTAAGATAGGTCAAGTCAAAGTATTTACAGCAAAAAGTAGTATCGAAATCTCTAATCATAAAAAGACACATGCCAGCTACAATACAAAAATATTAGAGCATCCAGGATGAGATTTAGACAATCATGTATCACAGCTCATCTCCTTTGTACTTCAAAGAAGCCAGAAACTAAACAAAATTATTGCTGGATTAAAATGAGCGGGATCAAGGGGAATTGAAAGCGGTTAATAACATAAGCTAAGGTTCACTGTAAATTATTCAGAAGTCTGTTACTGAAACGACAAACGGTGTGCTACTCCTATGGGAACTTAATTATCAGCAGACCGAAATGAAAGAACTAAAGCATAAGAAAAAAAACTCGTTCTTCAAAGCGAAAGAAAAAAAAAATTTTAAAACAGGATTTAAGAAGCAATAATTCAAAGACCATCCAAAAAATAAAAATGACATTCACTCACGCGTTAAACAATGCCCACTCTAGATATCTTATCAGCGGTAATAATAATAACAACATCAATAACAACAATAACAACAGTGGTAATACAAATAAAAATAAAAGTAATAATAATAAAAATAATAAAAAAAAATAATTACAATGATAATAATAATACAATATTAATAATAGTCCCAGCAGTAATGTTAATATCAACGACATCAATGAAAACGTCACAACTCCTATCTCCCTAATGGTATTATAAAATATGAAGACAGGTTATACAATTAAAGTAAATCTGAAAAAAAATATTTGAAATGGCAACACAATGCTGTACCAAAACGCGAACTCAATGAGAATTAAAATCTCAAAATCCAGATTCAAGAAATCACGCATACTATCACAGTAGGGAACTGATGGATTTAACCAACAATCATAGCATTTAAAGACGGAAACTGCGTAATAACCGTAAAAAAAAGATGGAAAACTACGACCTGCTGAAACCATAACTCATCAAAATTCGATTATATTTTTGATTTATCAGTAATAGTTAGAAAAGTTAGGAGGTTTTACATAAGGAGCTTGGGAGATGAAGGAAAAAATAGTTTAACTCTCAAGACTCAAAAGTTGAATAAAACAACCACGTTTTTACAAAGACAATGTAACTTGTGAAAGCCTAAGTCAGTCAAGATCCTTAGTTATGCAAACACACGTTTCCAAACAACGTCGAAAATTGTAGTTGGAGTGTCCCAGAGTAACACCTGACTGTTTCTGAAAATAGTCCAATCCTCGGCCAATGCGGTAAGTCCACCCATTGTCAAACCTAAATGTGCAGAATAATCTACAACATAGAAACAGCAAAAGCAGCTTTTGTGCGACTATATTTTCAAAACTTTATTACGCAAATGACATTATGTAAGCTACAAAGGGAAGGACTGAGAACCTTATCTCTCGATCATGAATTGTGTCGCTACGTTGCACTTCCAGCTGAATTTGTCGCGCAAGCAGTGATGTTTTGAGATCAGTAAAAGGAGAGTACTGAGAATCCGGCCTCAATGACCTGGTCCGCAGCACAATCCTCTTGAGGTTTAAAGCCTTTGAAACAAGGACTTCGCAAAAAACCACAAAATTACAGACCTTAAAACAATATCTCGACAAGTTCTTTCTTGATAATCAAACTTAAATCCGCTTTCGAATTCCGTACCTGAGATTCAGTTGAAACATAAGGATCTTCCACATAAACTGTTTTAAGCTGCTCGTTAAGTCCCTCTGAAAAGAGCCTGTCATAACCGTAACCTACGCTACCGTCCTTTATCCGAAGTACTTTTACTCTTCTGAGATGAAAGTCCTCCTCCTTAACGCTATTATCAATTTTCGAGAATAGTTCCTCCACTTTAAAATTCCCTAAATAGCCAAAAATAAACAACAGATCGGTAAACACAAATGAGGTCCAACAAAAAATTAGAAACTTCACAAATGCATAGACTCTCAAGTATATAAATTGACATGAAAGTTGAAGGTTTTTTAAAGAACAACTTTAAAGTAAGTGAACGAAAAAGAAAAATATTCCTCAACTACAACTTAATGTAGCCAAAAGAGCAAAACTAAATTCGAAGTTTCAGCAGAAAAACACCATTAGAGGTACCCAACTGAATAAGTCTGTCAAAATCCTTCTTTTCCAGCCTTCTTAAGTAACAGCCAAGCTACAGTTAAGCAAATATCTGCAAAAGACAAAGTATGGTGGAAGAAAACACTAATTTTTATGACATTCCATTCTTTAGCTGTAGACTATGCAACATCTTCTAGTCGTTTCAGTAAACAACATAAAAAACTTTTTGCAACGTCTCTCAGTATGGCAGGACGAGATTCAGAATTAATGTAAGCACTAGCACTAAAAGTACTCAGCGAATCATCAAAATGCTGCCAAAACAAGCAGGAAACTGTGCGGTCTCACATGACGTGGAAATGAGGCAAGTAAAAATTACTTCGATAAGAATTTTTGAAAACCGAAACGTCTAGCATGTAGTTTGAGAGAAGAAATGATAAATACTTTTAGCACTCACAAAACCAGACAAAGGTAAAAACGAGAAAGATTTAAAAAACATTTCATGATTCAAATCTGGCATATTTCATTTCACCGTTTCTTGTTCCTGGCCCACAAATCGTCGGCCATCGACCAGTGCAAAGAGAAACATATAATTTTGATAAGTATCATCACGGAAGTTATTCCAGTCAGATTCGACGTCATTTTGACTAGAGGAGTTGGTAATGAAAATCGTAAGAAGAAGTTTTAATAGTAAGCAGTAATTATTACAAACATTTGTGGTACACTGAATGCTAACGAAAACCCGTTCAGTAAATTTCTTGTTAAAAAGTGGGTGTCACACACTCTACCATTTTATGATAAAGTATAGTAAGAACCGCTGTTTTTGAAAACGTAAGCTCCTGTTCTTGTTGACAGCTCCCTAAGTGAACTGTAATTTTGGAAAGCGTGGAAAAAAAGAAATCTACCAAACTTATGCAAACAGCAAACTAACTTGACGGTGCGTACCTGTTGAAATCTCGTACTAGTTCGGCCCCTTAGCCGGCTCAGAGGTGACAATAGAGAGGCACCGATACTCTGATAGAAAAATCTGAGGAAAAAATTAACCAGAAAGCCCAAATTACCAGGCAGTTTACGAGGAACCTTTTTTTTTGCGCATATATTTTCCTCGGTAGAAGTAAACTCGGAATCGCTTCCACTGGACGTACACCGTAACGGACTTTCCTTTGAGCCTAAAGTTTCAGTTTTAGAGCCTGCAGCAGATCCAATTCATACTTCCTATCCATATTCAAAGTATCAAGAAACAGCTCCATTTTCAGTGGGTACTGTGGCATCATCAATAACAAATTTCCAAATATTCTGTACAATTAATCTGACTACAAAATTTAAACAGCCAGAAGAAAGTGATATCAAAAATATCATACAGTTACATGTTGGTACAAAAAATTTAAAAATAATGTAGGAATATCCTGTTCTCGCAATTTCATAAATCTAATAGTAACGCAAAGCAAAGATTCTACATACCTGGCAAGAACACATGGCTGAACAAAGACACCCCAGGGTTCATTGCTGGAAAATGAAGAACCCCAAGAAACGAAAACTAAACAAGCCTTTCCACAGCAGGTGTCCAATGCAGATCAATGCAGACGTAGAAACGCAACAGATTCTGATATGGGCGGGGCCTTTCACGTAACAACAAGTCCCGCCCTAAGAAGCTAGAGGTGCAGTACAACTTGTGAACCACATCACGCAGCGAGCCAATTATAACATAATGAATTTATCCCGATGCTCGGTTTCAAACGCATTTTTCGTTGCAGCTGGCAAACGCCCAAAACTCTTAACGCGTTGATTCAACTTACGATCTCAGTCATATCGCATTAGAAGATGTACAAATGAAATTGTGAGGAGATGGACTTTTTGTCTAGACTGCCTTAAACTGCGTGTAATCTACAAGCTTTTCCCCGTATGAGCTATTTTGAAATTGTTGATGTGCCTTCTGTTATTTTAAATAGCGGTTGCTAAAGTTATTTTGAAAAGAAGGGGTAAGGATGTATATGAATCTCTGCTTCAGTTCCCTGGAATCGAGAACATTTTGTCTTTTTTTTTCGGTTGCCCGTACTCAGCGTTATTTTTAGAAAATATGGATAAACTTTTTTATGCCTTGCAAAAAATGGACACGTACAGGTGAAACTGCAAGAAGGTGGACTTCTTCTGCCTTAAAGCAATTGTTTGAATGCTGTTTTGGGGAGAAAAATGTTGGTTAATGGGACTCTCCTTTATTTTTGATTATATGTTAAAGTAAAACCAAAATAGATAGAAATTCTGCTCAATAACAATTTGAAATTTCGTAGCATTGCCAACGGTGTGTACTGCTTTTCAGTGTAAATTGAAACGATTAGAAAATGTAAAAATACGTGCAACACATAGTTGGTGTTAAGGAATTTAGCTTCAGCTGGCGTTAGCCAGTTCAGTCACGGGCGTCAAGGAGAATCATGGGTATTAAATTCTGAAACGGCAAATACCAACCACAATTGTTTAATGATGCATGCTTACATTTTGCTCTTTCGTGTTTTAGGGTTTGGAGAAACTGTCAATTCTGTTAAAGCATTTGGATGATAGAAGAAGGGATATGAATTTGTTTGGTGCTAATATCTAATTACTCCTAGCTAATCCTTGGAAGTTCAAGTGAACCAAATTCGCCAGTTGTTTGAAGATGGACAACTTGTATAAGATTACAGAATTTTACACAGATTTTCACTGATTTTGATATCGCTGTTCACTATCCACTTTTTTTTTTAGCTTAAATCAGTAAAATTAAACTCTTTTCAACCTTAAATTCTCGAAGTTTTTTAGTTGAATCTTCCAAGATATCATCCCAAAAATCAGCAGCAACGTTAAGCGATATAAAATTAGCAAATATTCTTTAGAAAAATTTTACATATATTTTGCAGTACCCCTGTCTAAATTTAACTAAGAAGATGGATATAACATTCACCCTTCTGTTTTGTGGAGGACATTTTCTCCACAAAAAACATTTTCAGGAAAGTGCTATAGGAAATGCAAGTGTATTAGTACTGTCGTTGTTAAAGAACGTGGCGGGTTCCCTTCCACAAAGCACGACCGACTCGCCTGCATTGAAGCCTTTTCTGCTGCGCTTGCAATGAAGAAAATAAGCGAAACTGTAAACCGGATTGTATTTGGAAAGCGTTCTCAGCTTATGAACCCGAACTGAAGTGAAAAGGCCCCTATTTTGTAAGAATCGACTGGTAACGGTAATATCAAAAGCCGTGCACATCAAAATGTATCATTTTAATACAGAGAATGCGATGGCGGAAATAAGAAGAAAAGTCGGGATCGCAAAAAGGGAGATGAAGTGAAGGATGTGCTGACTAGTTTAGAACTGAGCAGAATTTTCCGTACAAAACTGTACTTACAGCTGCCTGCGTCATCTTCAGTAGAAATAAAACTGGTAATGTCTCAGTCACTTTAAAAAGTAATGTAGGGTTATTTTGGACCTGTTGTTGTGAAAGAAATTTTTAAAACAAAAAGTTTTGGAAGGCAGTTTACATGCTTGAGAACAAAAGCCGCTTATTTGTAACCAGCTGAGAAATTAATGTCTACTCGCGGCACGGAAGCTTTCTGAAGACTCATAGCCAGAAAAAGTATACCTGACTTGATTGTAAATGGCAATGCAACTACATCTGAAAGAGTGCCACCGATCCTTGATAACGCGCGGAGGAAAGCACTAATTGCAGAAGACTGCTAAAACTAATCTACAAGTGAAAGAGTTTCGTAAAGATTGATAGAAAGTTCCGCTGCGTGTCTGAGCGAAAAATAAAGAAGTCCGTATCTTTCTCCTGTACTCCGCTGTTGTTAAAGGCAAGTGGTCAACGTGCTTTCGCTAGTATCACCAGACACGTGTGTATCGATCACTATGATGTGAGCCAAATGTCAGGGTGCTGTTCTTCTCGTGACCATACGTGAAAGGACAAATTTCAGCGGACGTCGCTTACGGCCTACTCTTAAAGGAAGGTTCTTCAAGAGCAGACAGGAGTCCATGTCCATCGTCACAATCAATACGCCTGTTCGACATTGTTCCGGATTATCTACTTTGAAGCTTCTCATTTATTAATGTGTTTCTCTATTTCATTATACCTCATGTTCATGGGGAGCTTGAGGTTTCTGCTTTATGAATGCAGTTCATTTTTTTGTTTTTCTTTTATTTGGTACTACTTCAAATTTAAAATTTTATAATGCTTTAAAATTATACTTCAGCTTTTTTGGTGGTCGCAGCACAGTTATCATTTAAGAAGGTTCCCAGAAGCGTTCAGAAAATTTCTTTTTCTATTTTAACGTTCAAAAAAAATTCTATAACTTCTTCGAGTCAAGTCCATTGTTTATTCGGTTGTAATAGCTAGTGAAGATTAAGGGATAAATAAGTAAAACGAGCAGTATTTATAAAAAGCAGCGAACGCTACGAAAGGTCATCGCTGTTTAGAAATACTAGTACCACCACAGTTCCCCTTGGTCCTCAATTCTCGAGTTTGTCCGTCGGCAGTTGTTGTACCGAATCCTTATCGGAAATTATTTAGCGAAGCTATTGTAGCAAAGTCTTTGCCGCACTACTGCAAAAACGCTTGTTATGAGAACAAGCATACGAAGCTTTACTTGACATCCAGATTTGGCTAAACAAGCGAAGACCCGATTACGCAATTTAGGTTGGTAGCCGCTGCGCTTTACTTATGAGCAGAACAGTCAGACGCGTTGGTTTCGTAAAACGCATAGTTCGTTTGAAGTCTTAAAAAACGAAGAGATCGAGTTGCTTGAGACGGTGCACAGCATGTTGCTCGGTCGTCTTTTTTGGGCAGAATTATCTTGGCTCAAGCTAGTTTGTTTCCCTGTTGTCCGTCGACTGCTTCTGTATTTTTCTGTGATTTCAAGCAAAAATCGACTTAGTGCTATTGATTTTCATTAAGTGCTGTTATTTAGCCGGTATTGTTCCGCTACTGGTTGTATTTCTGCTGTATTGAGTCTAGGTTAACTTTTGGTTCGCTGTTTGGTTTGTTGGTGCATTTGTGCCCGATTTTCTTTTTATTTCTTTTCCCTTCGTCTTTTCTGACTTACGTTTTTAATTAAGTTCAGTCATCCTTTTGCCGCTGCTTTCTCATTTTTAGTGTCTTTTTCGATCTGCCGTTAAATTGTCCTTTTCCACTTGAATAACGGCTTCTGAACAGAAAGTAGGTAACTGACAAGGATTTCATAGTGTACTTTAAATATGGCGATAAAGTGACTTTCAGCGGTGCCTCTGTTTGAGACCTGAGTAGCAGAGTTTTGACTGGAAGCAAGTTTTTGGTTGCAATATTCCTTTAAAATTGGTCGGTACTGTATGCTCCAAGCGAGTAATCGTTACTTACAATAAAAGCTATATAACTGTATTTAATTAAAAGTCTTTTTGGGGTATGTAGAGGTGGTGTAACAGGAGGCGTTTATTCGGTTTAAAACATTGCCAATGAGTAGTGGTATAACTTCTAGTGGTTGCTAGCATTTTGTTATTGAATACCGATGTTCATGTGCGGCTATTAACTGCAGGACTGTCCTGTTTGTAATTTTAGAGGCAGGCTATGCTTTGATTTTCAATCGTATTTTGTTATTTCCTATAATTAAATCAATATCTGAAAGCGGGTGCCGCCCGGTTGCCTTTCTTTTTCTTACGTTGGTGTCCCTTCATATTTTTTTTTTCGTTCTGTATGTAGTGTAAATTTAGTTTTGCTTTCTGGAACACATCCTTTTTCACATTGTACCATTTATTTGCTTATGTTAAGTCATCTGTACAGAGAAATTATGCTGTTGACGTACAGTTCCTGTATATCTGCTTTGCTTACTAGGATCAGCTTTGTTGAAGTGATGCTTCAGTATTGCTTATAGTAAGAAAGAACCAGACACTGCTTAAAGCAGTACTCCAAAATATCGGTATATGATAAATCATTTCTTTCCAGCGAACGTGGTATTTCTTTAACCCACAAAAACCGAATGACTTTGCCATCTGCTTTATGTGAGGTCATCTGCAGAAGTGCTTCATCCTACCACGATATATATATTAACATCGCTGTTGTAGAAGGGTTCTAGTCCAATTTGATAAGAGCTGCAAAACGTTTCTCCAGGGTTTTGGTTCCCTTACATCTTAGCTAAAGCGTCAAAAATGACAGGCACTTTCGTCGTGTCATTGTTTGGATTTACTAAAACGTGGTGGGGTAGGTACTTCAGAGGGGTCGCGGACTGATCGCCTGAGCGGATGAAAGCGGAATATAAAAGAGGCACTAATTAGGAAACAATTTAATGTTACTGTTGTTAAAGTTCAAATCGTGCTTCCGGTCAATACTGATCGGTCATCTTTTACTGCCTACCTCAGTTTATGTTACTATTTTCTGTCGGTGCGTGCCTATTAGGCAGCTTTTGATCTGTTTAATTGATCTTAAGTTGTTCTAATTTATAATTTATATTTCCCTCCTTAGTATCGTACTGAGTGTGGTCCAGTGTCAACCAGAATTTCTGTTTGTGCAATATAAA